AAAAAAAAAAAAAAAAAAGCAACTTTGCAGGGCCACGCAGAAGAAACTCAAAGAAAAACCAACGCCAGCCAAAAAAATGACAACGACAACCAAATTCAAAATGACAAAAATGACAACGTCGACGACAATCAAATCCAAAATGACAAAAATGACAATACGAATGACAAAAAACGACAATGGCAAATGACAAAATGACAATTAGATGACTAAAATAATCGGACCCCACCCCAATCTTTGCATTCCTACAAATCTAAAGTACTCTAAAATTGTTTGAAGGACCCCCGCCGCAGCACCGACACAAACAGCAACACCGTGGTCTATGCCATCGAATGCCTTATGCCTTGCGCAAGTCAAGCTCAGCGCCCCGCACGCAAGGGCTGTGCAGCCACGCCGTAGTAGCGTCAAGTGCGCTGCAGCCCCAGACCGTGCAGAACTGGCCATTGAAGGACCGCAGGGAAACCAAGCATGCTGGCTAAGGCAATCGAGCGGGTAGCAACCTCGTATCCCTGAGGATCCCAACGACACGCCAATTAAGAGAAAAAGCGGCTCCGACACTTTTGCGCAGACTCAGAGTGCCGGGCCTCAAGCAAAGAAGCAAAGATATTTGCACGAGGTCATGCGCAAGACTGGGGCAAGCGCGCACGAGGTCCTTAAAAACTCGCTGGCAGACCAGCCGTCACAGCCAGCGCCGCCCGAGCAGCTTTCGATCGACTTCAACAGCTGCTCCGCAGAACGAGGCTGGAACGCCGACACACCCACAGCAGGGCCCAGCCCGGCAGCACTAGCGACCTCGTTCCAAGCCTTGTAATGGGCAAGGTGGACTTTGGTCCAAAGCTTCTCCCACTCCCCAGTCATGGTGGCAGCCGTAACAGCGGACGCCGAGGAGGTCCAGAACCGATGCCGCCAGCGCTTCCAGCTTTCGTTTTGGAGACGCTTGGCTTCTGCCTGCACAGCAGCACTAGCGACGCTGATAGCGTGCGTGACCTGGGACACACTCAAAGGGGAACTGCCGTGGCGAGAAGGTTGCCTTTTAACAGCGGCCCTGCGCAGCCTCTTCCAGCGACGAAGCAAAACCGACTCGCCGGGTCTCAGAGTCAGAAACGAAACGGAGGCAACCCGTCAGCAAAAGGGCTCGGAGCCTTTGGGTCTTTCAGCAGGCCTTTCGCAAACAGCGAAACCAAGGCGCACCACCTCTTCGCGCACAGCCTCGGGCCTGTGGCGCCAGCTTTCCAGAGAGGCGAAAGGGTCTTCCTCGGAAACGGAGCCAGCCTGAGCAAACTGCTGCAGTTTTTGTGTAACGTTCAGAGTGAGAAACCCGGCAGCGGCTGGCAGTGCGCCACCTAGCAGCCGAAGGTCCAGCAAAGGGCTGCTAGTCACGACTGCACCAAAGCCTGCGCCTCAGCCTGCTTGCTTCTCCTTTTAAGGGCGGCTCGCTTATGGCAACTCTTCCAGCAGGGGTCTTGATAAACTTGGAAAACTTGAGCTGGTACCGTTTCACGTGGGCGTCAGCGAACTCGGTGCCTCTGGTCTTAACGTGCCAGTCGTACACAGACTCCTTGGGGTGCTTAACAAGGGTACCGCCGGAACTCTGCCAAGGTAGCCGTGCGGCCGGCGCTCACAGGGGTACCGGGTGTATTTGTAAGGTCCGCTCTTGAACTCCGAACCGATCACAACAGGTGTGTTCTCAGCTGGCACGCAAGCCGAAGACTGCAACTTTTGGCCTTAAGGCGAGCAACAAACTAACTGTAAGGCAGAAGGGCTCGACTGCGCCTGGCTTCGAGCTTGGGCATCAAGCATGTGGGTCAACGCAAATCGGCGCCTCACCATGCGGGGTAGCAGCAGCGTCAGGGCGTTCCACTTTACAGACGAAGAGAGGTCGTCGGCCTTTGAGAGCATGCAGGAGGAGTCGGGTCCCTGTAAGCGCGGACAGGTTGGCTTGGGACCAAAAAACGGAGTTGTTGCCTTTAGGTTTGAGCCAGGTGCAGTGCAATGATGATTGCAAAGCCGCAACCAGGTCACAGCAGGGTTTGGGCAGTTCTTTTGTTTTTTTGGAGCGCGTGGGCCCGACAATGTACAACAGCCACTGGGACGTTTGGGGAGCTCTGTCCAAACTCGGAACTGGCAGTGCAAGGAGCAAGCCAAAGCATGCAGGCTAACCGTGTTGGCCCACACCCCGGGCGGTGGACGTAGCTTTGGCGAAGCTTTCAACTCCGGAAGAGCAGGCGTCAGCGTACTTGGTATAGGCTGGGCGCGCAACTCGTTAGCAGCCTGGCAGCAAAGGTGACCTTGCCAACGCCGAGGTCCTTAGACTTCGGGGTGGACTTTGAGTGGGCCGCCATCGGCGAGGCAAGCACAGTCTTTGCCGCCACTGCTTCTTGGAGGCGACACCTGAGGGTTCCAGCCTCCATCATCTGATCACCGCCAGCGTCGGTAGCTTCAGCAGCGGGGACCAGCAGTGGGTTTGGGCACCGGTTTTGCAACGGACGAGACAGAAGAGCTACCCCACTGAGGTGCAGAAGTAGTAAGTGGGCGGCTCTCGTTGCCTTGCCACTTTTGTGAGCATCCGCAGCAACACAGACGCCAGACTCGTACACAGCAGTTCCGACCTGGGCATCCGGCCAGGCTCTGAAATACCCGGCGTTAGACGCGGCGCGACTCACCTGAGGAAAAACCGTGGGTCGACAACCATCGCAGGGCGTCTTCCGGCATCCAATCCAATCCTCGGGTGCACCGGTGAGGGACCAACGTGGCGAAATGCCACCTTAGCAACAGCGGCAGTAGAAGTGCGCACTCCCAGGTTTGCGCGGCCACCAGGTCTGTAGGCGAGGCACGCCGCAGAGCTGTGCTTGAGGACCGCCGTTCGAGCAACAGCAAAGTAATCCTGGATTTGCAGTTCGTTGGGCCGCGCAAGCCACTGCTTGCTACAGGTGTTGGCACCGTGGGGAGCAACGAAACAGCCGGCAGGCAAAGCAAGTCCGGTCAGACGTTCAGTGTTTTCTTTCCGCACCCTAAAAATGGCAAGTAACCTCGTCAGGGTACGCTGCAGCAGCGAAGGTCTTGTAAACCTGTTCGGCGACAGTAGCAGGGAGAGTATTCGAAGGCAAGGAAGCAGGCTCTTGGCAACACGCTGAAAGAGGTGAGGCGAAGAGTACGCCGTCAGACGACAGGTGAAGAACTCCGGCAAAGGCGCATCAGCATTGCGGGCTGTGTCTCGAAACTGCTCAGGCGGCTTTAAAGAAACGGGCTGAGGAGCCGGAACCCTTGGGTCGCAACCAGGGGGCTTGGAAAGGGAAAGCGCCTCTCGAGCAAAACACAGCCCAGGAAGGTCATCCAGTAGCCGAGCATCTCTCCAGAGACTGAGGGCGTAGCTACTCCAGGCCTCGCTCATACAGCTGATCACACGGCTCAGGATCGCAAAATAGCACACCGCCCCAAGAAAGCGGTAATCAATGCAGCTGCCCACGTTTCGTACCTTTCTGACAAGGCCCCTCATCACGGATTGAGCTTACTTATTATTTATGGTCACCAAGGATCTCGCGGTGTAGCCAAGTTGGCCGCAACTCACGGCATACTCAAGGCTCTATGGGTCGCAAGGCTGATGCCCGAACACTGAACATCATACCCAAATGAAGTTGCGATTGAACAGGCACACAAACACCTACTCAGGCACCCAATCGCCGCAAGGCCCACACCAAGGCACGGTATAACCCGACAATCAATGAATGAATGAGTAAGCAACAGTGACAGACTCTGCGGACAAGATGCAAAATGCAGCGGCATGAATCTCGACATTAGCCGAGGGAAAGCCCCCAAATTGGTGGCATTAGCCCGTCCTTCCATCCCCGTACCTGTAGGTAAGTACCAGAGCAGGGCAAAGGACAGGACAAGGAACAAGCGGAAGAACAGAAACAACAGCAACCAACGACGAACAAAACGAGGAAAACGACGAGCAAAACAAGACGCGAACAACCGACGACAAGACGAAAGATCTTGCGACGTATGGGTACTTTGTGAGTGAGATGATGTGCCAAATTGGCTACTTTTGTTTTCGCATCTCTGCACCTGTCCTTTGCACAACAGTGCTGACTGACAGGATAACCTAATCTATTTCCTCCATTGGCCCAAAGGGATCAAGACGGTGCAAGGCTGGGCCCTCCGCCTATTGGACATAAGTCCAAACACTGGAGTGTTCTAATTTATTGCTGGAGACTGCCGATGGGGATGACGTCGACCTTGGTTGCGTCCTGGCCCAATCCTGTTGTAGATTGTGTTAAACCTAGCAGCAACAGCGAATATACACCATGTACGGCAATTAAGAAAATGCCACAGGCAAACTTTGCTGTTACACGCCGATGGCCAACCGATGCTTCCCCCATCATTCCATAGCTTCGTTGCGTCAGGCAGTATGATGGGCCTGACGCCCCTGCAAGTGTCATGCAAGATATTCAATAACGCGACATAACGCAACTTTCGTTCTCCCTCGTGCCCATTCAGGAGTGGTCACACACACCTAGGCTTGGCGAGAACTGATGAGGCGAACCTCGAGCCTCCTAATGCAATGACAGATTACAGCAAGCGTACAGAATCATTGAGGCCAATGACAAAAACAACAGCATTTTTGGGGGTACTTTGGCCTGGCCATTTCGCAGGTACACACAGCTGATCAGGCTGTGCNNGGCAAGTCAGCTCCTGTCCCCCTGCACATACTTAACGCCATGTCCAGGCGTTTACACACACACACACACACATCTTCAAGCCCACGCATTCATGTGTACACGCGTTTATCGGTGCTGCTTAACGCTGTGATCGTCTGTTTGTCCATCGGCTTACCTACTTACTGATCTACTCACTGATTTACTTCTTGTCGTACAGGCCATCATGACTCAATTCCAGATGCATCTCGCCTGCAGCGACTGGCCCACCAGCCGGCTCTCTGCGCCCAGAGTTCCCATCTTTGAGCCTGTGAGATCGCACAGCTCGGAACTACTTGCCTCAACGGCTCGCATCTGGTCTTACCCTTCCTCCCACGATCTCGGAACTCCGTTCCCCGCCCTGCCCCACCCTGCAGGTCGTCGACAAACATGGAGTGCCAGCCAATCTGTGGCTGCCAGCTGTAACCCTTGCCTGAGATGCGGATGTGTTGCACTCTCACACGGAAAGAGAAGCCAGAAGTGCATTGCAAGCGACTGCCTTCTGAAGTCCATCCCACCCGGTGGAGGACCAAGAAGACATGGGAACGAGCGGCAGCCCCGAGCCTGCTGGCGGCTGGATTCAGTTATTCATGGATGGGAGCTGGCCGTGCTGGGGCTGCGATGGCCGACTGGAGCTTTCGTGCAAATCGGTGGCAGCTGCGAGAATTTCAGAGAGAGCTGCGCAGCTGAGACTGCTTCACACTGCACAACATGAACCAACGTGCTCAGAAGAAGCCGACCGCAGCGTGTTCTTCGCAGGCGGGTTCCGAGCCTCCTCTGCGCCTGCATCCAGGAAGGCAAGACACTCGCGTAAGTTCCCAAGCCAATATATTGCCCTTTGAGAGCTTTTTTTTGGCTGTGGATTCAGAGCTCAGGTCTTTCGTCTCTCTGCTTCTACCATGTTCTGCTGCCAGGCCCTGCTGCCTCGGCGCAGCGATGCCGCGTGAGTGCCAAGCGCGAGGTGCTGCAGCTCAGAGCATCCACTTGGAGTACCAGCGTCCTCTCCGAAAAGGGTTAGCGATGCTTCCGTCTCGTGGCAAGGGGGCTGAATGCAGGTTTTGCGCCACATCATGAAGAAAAGGGACCTCTTGACGGTCCTGTTTTCACTCGTCCCGGCCCCCTCGGAGAAAAACTTCTCGAGAATGTCCTGCCAAACTGCAAACGGTTTCGCAGAGACAGTACAGGCAATTGGAGATGTCAAAACACCAGGTCGCCGTGCCTCTAGCTGCTGGGATCCCGAGAGCTGCGAAATTGGTATGATGCTGCGGCCCCCAACTTCAGCCAAGTCTTGGAGTGGTGGCATGTGCGCCATGGGCGAGGACGTGGATAGCTCGCAGAGGATGCCGCCAGAATTCACACCGGAGACGATATGAACCATGCTGCTTGCCAAGCTCCGTCGCACCTGAATGCATGTAGAGTGGGTTTGCAAGACTCGAAATTGGACGTCCCGGCCTGGAAGTAGGAGTTCTCCTCTCTGAGCTGCTGCAAGCTCTTCGATCGAAACACTGCTAGCGGCAGTGCCATGTCCAAGATGGCCAGCTTCAGCTGCTGCAAGTCTGCCTCTGGCCGTGCCAGCCTCAAGAGCTGCCATGCAAAAGGCCTCTAGGGACTCTAGGGGAGGCTCAGAGCGTCAGAGCTGTGCACCGCGCAGCAAGGAAGCCAAGGTTGAAGGCGTAAGTCCGCCGGCGACCACGTCGCAGCCAGCTTCCAGAGCCAAGACCTCCGCCCAGGCCTGCAGCTTCGCCAGGAGAGGCTGCCTCGCCAGGAAAAAAAGCTGCTGCGGCCCCTCTCCGCCCCTCTCCGCCCCGCATCCCTCGCTCCCTGGCCTGGCTGGGTCCAGGAGCTCTGTAGGCTCCAGCAGCTGCTTCTCGAACCGGTTCAGAAACGGCACATCCAGCTGTCGGAAGGCCTGGTCCTGCGCGGGGTGAGCTGTAACCCTCGACAAGATCTTGGGTGAGCCATGGACGATTGCACCTGGTCCACCAGCACCAGAAGCTTGAAGGACGGTGCCATGGAGCAGAGCTGAGACCGGGCTCCGATTGCCAAACGGAGCAGCAATTCGATTTCGCCTTCCTTCAGGGGAGTTTCGAAAGTCATCTTGAAACACAGCCGCAGAAAGATCCCACCTCGGTCCGCCGCCGCACGTAGCGCTGGTTTAGGACGTCGTAGAGTGCCTTGGCCGTAGAAGTTAGACTGCAGCCAGCGTGTCAGTGTCCTTCACTCGCCTCGTAGATGACGTCCATTCCACACAGCAGCAGCATGCGACCCTTCGCAGATTCTGCATGCCCATAGCCAGAACCCCTCAAGGCCATGAAGGGTTGGAGAGCCTTGGCCATAGCATCGCGCACCCGCATGAGCTGTCGGATGGCGTAGGCCTGACTGCGGCTTCGCGCCAAGCGCGTCAGAATCTCCGCTACCTCGTCTACTCTCCTTTTGCTGTTTTTGGTGACTGCTTCAAACCACATCGCCTCGGAAGCATCTTCCGGGAAGTCGCTGCCCAACAGGATTTCCGCATCCTTGGGCAGGATGCCGGCTGCCTGTAAGCTAGCACAGCATGGCACAGCTAGTCTTGCTTGGAAAGACCGTGCAGCGCGGCCGGGCGGCCTGCAGCCATGGCAAGGCAGCACCCTGGGTGAAAACGTGAAATCCGACTTGAGGAGGACGTGGGGTCTCACATGCTTACAGCGTTTTCGCAGCTTTAGTGGCATCAAACCTGCGAAACCCGTGAAAGCCTGGCTGGCCAGGAGCAGGTGACGGGCCGTCCTGGTGTGCGCAGCGCAGAGTGGTGCCAGGCTCAAATGCAAATCCAAAAAGGCCCATGACCGGTGTCCTGTCCGAGAGACTGGAGCACAGAAGTTCCTTTAACGGCCAAGACAGACGCTCTCCTTCTCTTCTGGCACCTGCAGCACTGCACACGCCACTCAATGAGCTGGGTTGCAATTACAAGGTGCCTGCAGGAAGCATTGCATGAAGCAGCCTCTCCAACAATACTGGCTGACCTTGCACTCAACGATGTGACACCGCAACATACGGAAAAAGTCGCTTCGTGCCTCCAAAATTTCGGCGAATGGCGAATGCCAGGATCCTGAGCTTTCAGACTGAAACCGTCGAGACTCTACAGTTCGATGTGTTCGGCCGGGCCAGCTTAGCCAAGACACTCTGCAGTAGGTTGCTCCACACTTGCCGAAAGGCATCCATCGCGAACGGCACGGACAAAACTGTAGTAGTCTCGCATTCCCAGCCAGTCGCGATCGCCTTCTAGCCAGCAAGAAACATCGGGCAGACAAACAGACACACACACACACGCCACCGACAGCCGACCAGGTACCTTGGTCTGCGAAAACGCTCCAGAAGGCGGCAGACAGCTCCTGCCGCATGTAGCCACGAGCAAGGTCGCACTGCCATGCGATGAACATAAAGCACTCCATACTTGTATGAGGATGTCGCTGAAGATGCGACAAATGAATACCCGGTGCGCTGCAAAGCACACAGCACACAAGAATGAAGCGCTGCATCAACCGTAAAATGCTGCACTGCACCTAGCATCTCCGGGTAGAAAACGGAGCAGTTGCACGAAGGCATCCCGGGCAAGGTTTGCTGTGACAACACAGACTGAGTGGAGAATTGACGATGCGGGCTCTGCCAAAACACAACTTCGTCTGCCAGGTTCTACCCGTCATCACCGCTTGGTCCCGACCCTGAACCTGCAAAGTCCTTCAGCCAATCGGGCGAGGAGCTCCCACTGAAGGCCGCAAGCAACCCTGCTCCTGCACCGCAAACGGCTTGAAGCGTGAGTGTTCAGGTCTGATCGGTCTTCTGCAGCTTTGCACTCCCTTGCCTGTTCGACCAACCTCTGCAGAGTCCGGATCCGGCCGCGCAAGGCAAACACTCCTGTTCCTCGCTCGCAGTCGAACAAACGAAACTGCCTGAAGGCCAAACCTTCCTTGAATCCGAGACACATCTTGGCCGGGTCCAGCCGCCAGTTAGACAAACCTGAGCCAAGCCGTCTACGCTCAAGTCCGAAAGCCGAAAGCACTTTCACCCTGAGTCCCTTGTGAGAGGGCTGTGCAGATAGCTGCTGAAACTGATTATGTACATCCCAGAGAACTTCGTGGATTCGTATCATCACCTCTATACTAACGCACATGCTTCTGTGTGGGGCTCGAACACAGAATGAAAGGCGAGGCAAGTTAGCGAGCCTGTCGGGACGAGCGAAAGCTTCTGGTCATCTGTTGCTGACTTGGCGATGGCATGGCGTGAATTCACAGCTAGCGTCTTCTCGGCAGCCACTGTCTCCTGAGCCTTGGCCGCCTCGTGTCCTGGGCTTTCCTTCTGGGCGCAAGCTTTGCTTGGAGCTCTTTTGTAGCCGATCTTGTGGCTTTCGGAAGAGCGAGAACGCAAAATCACTATGGTTGTCTTCGGGGGCAGCATACTCCATTGACTGCCAACTAGCAATAACTTAGCCAAGGCAGTAGCCATGTTAAGACCGTGCGGAGTCCCATGGATTGACCTTGAGCTTGTAAGGAACTTGGTCCTTCCGCCTAGACCTAGAGAGATTCAGCCATCTGTGCTTCCCACTGTGCAAGGCAGTCAAAGTCCGGCACAGCTCCCAAGACTTAGGTGTCTTTGCCCGCACCTTCAGTACAGATACACGATATTGGGAAACGTAGAAACGGAAAGACTCGTCGGCTGCCATCGCAACTGGATTGTAATCACTTTGTCTTGTACCAATTCTCGTCAGCAGATTGTCCAAGTTGGAGCATCGAATCATGCAAGTCTTCAAACATCTCCGACATGTGTTTTGGTCGTCAGACTTCAACTCCACGCAGTGCGCAACCCGAGACCACAGCCCTCCCGCAATGCCCCCTCTGCACAAACTGCAGACCAAGACACCCACCACGGAGACGATCCCCGGTTCCGCCAGAATCCCATGCAAAACCTTCAAAGGCATGTCCTTGGCAACTTGGCGAGGCCCGGCTCTTGCAAGCAGTCGGGCCTCTGCTGTTCTGAGACCTTTGCTGGTGAGAACTCTGCAAGGCCCACCTCATCCAAGAGGAGAACTACCTGCCATGTGCAGCAATGTTCATGGGGTCTTGGGCCGGTACGAGTCCTCCCTGGCCTGGGCGTCCAGTGCATTGGAGGCGAAGCGAGAAGCCGCATCGAACTGGCGCCTCAGAGGCTTGCCATCGCTGGCCCAAGCGCTTTGCGGTCAGGCTCTCTGAGAGCCTCACTGGATGCCGTCAGCCGTGGACAACGGTGAGCACCTCAAGACACAAGTGTGGGCTGCGACAGAAACTGCTGCAGGAACCGTCTGCCAAGGGGCTGATACTGCATGAGTCGAAGGGCTGGCAAAGTCTGCAAGAATTTGGACTTGGACAGCTTCCCTTGCAGATTGCTCATCCTTAGCTAAGGTGTGGGGTTGGAAAACCCACCGAACAGGCAAAGATCAGTTGACACCCACTAGACGACTTCAAACACTCCTCAAGAAACGAATCAGCTGACTCAAGCTGACTCAAACAGGCACACGATGCTCTGAGTAGCACCCATATCGCTGCAGGTGTCGATAGAACTTCGCTTATCCCGACCCCTCCCGCTTCACCCGTGATCAGCTGAAAAGGGCAAGCGACAAGACCTGCATACACAGAGTCTTTGAGGTGCCTGCCAAAGGCAACAGCTGTGGTTTAGCTAGGCGAAGCAGATCTCAGAGGCTCGGCTTTCCTCGCCGGTGACTGAACAACTGATCGAATCTGCGGCCTGGCTTGCCGACAATGAAGAGTGGGATGCGGTTCATGATGCACAGAAGCCCCACGAACACATTTTCAGCCAAAGCTTCGTTCATGACCTTAACGGCTTCCGAATGAATGCAAGGTCCGGGGCTGCAGCGTTCATTCCTGCCATGGATTTTGGAGTTCATCCGCCGGTGCAAGCCAGGCACTACGTCTTTCTCGACTTCGAACTCCTTCGCGACATTGTTCTGCACCTTCCGGAGGATGTTTTCCATGGCCTTGACTTTGCAAGTGTCGCGCTTTTGCCGCTCTCTAGCGCACGTCCGGGTTCAGCTGAGCCATGCGAAGATTGACAGCGAAGCGTGGCCCTGTGTTTGCCGGGCAACTGTGAGGCCATTCTCCTGGAGCAGGCATGAATCCAAAGCCGTCGCGTCACTCTTTGGCCGACTTTAGCCCCGGCCTCGCGCTGCTTGCTCAGCTCTGCCCATCCACTGCCCTTCATCTCGCCCCTGTCACCCGGCCAGGGCGCTCGACGTGTGAGGTCGATCCAGAGGCTGTGGCGACTGGCAGGGCAAGCAAAGTCTGGGGACGTCAGCAGTGTTTGCACCCACTTCGCCTGTCCCTGGAGGCCAGGCGGTAATGGTATACCAAAGCCACCGCAACGACCTCGAGAGATGCGACGAGATTACTCAGGTTTCACACTCTCCCCAGCTCAACATGATGACTCAGACCCCATCTAAACTAAATGTTGTGCTGAGGAAGATAGCAGACCCATGTCAAGAAAGCCTGCAATATCCTGCAATTCAGGGTTTCTCACACAGACAAGTTTGGCCAAGTCGCCACCGAGGGAGGGTGTGGGTGACTCTTCGCAGTCTTCTTTCCAAAGCGCTCCTGCACAGAGCATTCTCAGGCCAAACAAAACACAACAGGACAGAGTGCCAACAAAACTGAATAGCTCGCAGCTGGCTGCAAAGTGTTACCGATGCTTCCACATATTATGTGTTCCACACTTTTCGCTGGACCTGCAGTCAGAAAAGGAATTGGTCACTTCCGTCTTCATCCGGATGCGTCTTCAATTTCGGCTACCACAGTACTCCAAGCGTGTTGAGGATGTCTGTTCAGACCGGATTCAACGAGCGGTTCAGTATCACGTGCTTCATGAAGCATGTTTGGACAAGATGGACACGGAACCTGCGACTCACTTACAAATCTTACAAGGCCAGTCCTGGGTCCACCGGGCGACTCGCAAGCAGCGCTTCCTGAACAGGACTGCAATTGGGATGCGATTGGGGATACAGCACAGTACAGGCCGGAGCAATCTGAGCGTCGAGCACATCTCTCAGAGAGACTGCCGACGGATCGCCTTCCTCCCAACGTATGAAGGCCTGCCATCGAGACATCCCTTCTCGAAGATTCGAAGGTTCTCTCTCTCTCTCTCTCTCGGGCACCTGCGCGAGGCAGAGGAGCTCCGTGACCAGCTCCTGCTCGCGCTCGTGGCTCTCGGGCCAGCCGTTCTGCACCTGCAAAGAGAGTCGAGTCTACGGAGTCTACGGCATCTGCGGAGTTAAAGCTGAGCCACCATAGAGCGTACGTACATTTTCTCCGCCTTCTGGGTCAATGCCTGCTGCAGCGTCAAACTTCGTTGCAGACATGCTGCGGTCGTCGTGTTGCCATGTTCATCCGCGTTGAGGCCGCTGCCCCGAAATCGAAGAGGAAGTCGTTCACCGTCTCGGGAACGGCATGCACACGGTAAACCAGCCCGCTCATCTCCTCCTTGCGAGCGCGAAGGCTTGCATTGAAACCATTCTTCGTCACAGCAAAGAACTCGCAACGTCTGTTGATTCTGATTCGGGTTGGGCATGAGATTTGCTAGGTCGCTGTAGGTGATGCTAGATGTGCTTGGCTGTGTTCACACGAAGCCGCACAAGCGACGTGCCGGTTCTGGGAATTGTGTGCAGCAAGAAGGCACGCCTCAACAGGCAGCCTTGCGAGTGGCCCGGCCGTGGAGTCTCTGTTCAATCGAAACTCGCGGAGAGAACGTTGGAAGTCGATTCTTGCGACGTGAGTAAACCAAACATGCCTTGAGTGGTGAGCTCGACCGCAAGATGGAATGCCGTCCCGTCAACTGGCCAGCTGACGCTGTAAACGAAGATCATTCAACACCCGGCAGTTACTTACAATGGTGCAGCTGCCAATCCGGCATGTTCTTCGGTTTGCTACTGGCATCATCCACCGTTCGATTGCATCCCTGCTTTCGCAAGGTTTCATTCGATCCCACTCGCAACGTAGCCCGATGCAGAAACAAGCTGCATGCTCGAGAACCGCACAAATCGAGTGCGAGGAAGCTTCTCTGAAGGCTCACGTCCGAACATGTCCGAACAGGCGCGAGCTGCCTCGGCACTGCCCTGGCCCCCGAAGACGAGGCCGGTCGTCAACTGCTGCTGCGGCCGCCTCGGGACAAAATCCCTCCCATCCCCGGTCCCGGCTCCAGACAACTCTCCATCGAGTGGCTTTCTGCGAGGGTTCAGCGCCGCCAGCACGTCCACATTCGAGGGCAAAACGTCACCCCCTCAGAGACTGCCGAAGCCCTGGCCCTGGCCGCGCCAAGGGCCGGTACGTGCAGGGCCATTTTAGCCAAGCGTCGAAGCGACCTTTCGAGCACGGCCTCGGGCCCGGGTCCGGGCCACATGCCACGCACGTGACGCACGTGCGCTCGCACTCGCACTTCGTCAGCCGGGCCGGGCGGCTTCACAGAGCATGTTCACATGCTGAGATGTGTTGATCTCATCCAAGAAGATGATCACGCGCTCACCCTCGCGCTCCTGGACAAGCTTTCGTGCCTGAGCAAAAGCCTCGGCTGGTGCGGACAGGCGTTCTACAAGTCGTGTGAAACTGGCAGCGGAGAGCCTCAGATGAACAAGTGCTACCTGCCGCATGGACATCGGTTGTGTCTTGGTCAGGGACCCGATCGATGTCGTCTTCTGTGGTCCCACCATGAACGTTCAGCGTGACCAGCTCCACCGCAAGCCAGGCACAAAGGTAGCGCACCTGAATCCAAATGAAGGCATCCACGGGAGATTGAAGAGTTTGCTTGAACATTCCTAGGTTGGTTTCGCTGTGGCCCGTGCCAACTCGGTTTTACCGCAGCCGCACTCGCCCATCAAGATCCTGCAAACGGTTCGCCAGGACAGCGCTTCCTGGTGGCCTCATCCCCCGTGCTGCTAAGGCACACGGGCAGGCCACAACGAAGACGGACAAAGATCGCAAGCATCTTCAGGACTGCATCACCTTCCGCTTAGTTCCTCCCCTGACACTTACAGACGCACAGGCCCGCACAGGCCCTGCCTGTGAGGCAGTACTTGCCATCCAACAGCTGGGCCGCCTCCTCCCTGGACCGGTCCACCCCAGTCAGGCAGCCTCTTTCGGACAGGAGATGCAAGCAGGGACATGCAGGGACGCGCATGCTCAGGCCTAGGATCTTGGTATGATCAGCAGTCAGGGCATCCAGCGACTCGCCGACGGAGACCTCTCAAGATATTGTGTGGCCCCTCTAAGGAACAGCTTTGCCGCCTCCACTCTAGGCAAGTGGCATGGTTGCGCTCGAGCAGAAAGAGTAGGCCCGGATGCATGGAAATCCGGAGCCTTCAGCGAGGAATGTCACAGTCTTGTTTATTCATTCTCTCCCTCCACAAACCGACCAAAAGCTCGAAGCAGCACCGTGTCCAAGACAAGCCGCTTGGTTGGTTGGCTCGAAAGGAAGCAAACCTGGTGCTTGCCTGTCGCAAGCCAGAAACCGATCAGAAACGACAAGACGAGACCAACAGACTGCACGGCATTGCAACCAGAGCCGTCATGAATTGAACTATTGAACCTTGCACTTTTTCGCAACCGCTGGAATCTAGAATGAAGTGTTCTTTTACATGAGTGTGTTCGCACTTGCCGCCGGGCGGCGGTTCGAGAAAAGCATACAGTCATGACCTGGGCAAACAAACAAGCCTGGCTATCGAAGTCACTGTTCGCACGGGTGTGTTCAGCCGTGCCACTGCTGTTCTCCCAGCGCAGAAGGGGGAAGTCCTCGTCCTGCTGTGGCTCTCGCCTTGTCGAAGCACTCTTTACTGAACTTCACTACCCCATCTCAAAGCCTCGACAGCTCTATAGCTGCGGATCATGTCCGGTCGGCCTGACAGCGGCGGCCGCTTCCTGCCCGGCAGTGACGAAAGACACGCGGGCGTTGGGTACCTTCAACAAGCTAATGCAAGAGGCGAACAGTCAGTCTTCCAGCGACTCCGAACTGTTTGTGCTTTCGGCCTAATTCAAGCCGATTGGGTCCAACACAGGTATCCACATGGTGTTACCTAGCCTGCTCGTCCCGGCCCATGGTGACGTAGGGTCCACACAGGCTGGCTCCTTGGCAGCACCAGGACTCTGTGCGACAACATGCGACAACGGGAAGCATGCCCCAGACAAAGGCGATGGTGACCCCGTAAACATGCACGGACAGGCAAGGTTAGTGCCGGAAGCCAAGCCCTTGAATGAGAGTATGTGTCCGAAGGGCGGGAGGACTTGGCATAGACACCCTCGTCGGAATGGCACACATGGGCAATGCACCACGTGTCCATTCCTCGGTCTTGCTGCGTTAAAGGATCCCCGTCTGGGGGTTTCTCATATGATTCATGCAAGAGAACAAGAGATGCTGCCACAGCGCCTTTGTCCCAGAAGAGGTGTCTGCGCGGCTTTTCCTCTGGTGCAGAGGCACATTTATGGAGTTGAGGGGGGCTCGGCTCCAGCAGCAGCAATGTCAAAGTGCAAAGTGCAGAGTTGATGACACTCGCGAATCTTGGTCGTGCATCTTTTTGAAAAAAGGCTCCAACACAAAGTGCTGGTAGCCGTTCACGTTCTCATCCTTCGGCTGGCGCAGGTACATGCCGTTGAGAGGAACGAGGTACTCCTCTGATGCAGCTTGCGCTTTGGGCGGGCTTTGGCTTGTTTGGCTTGTTGCACACGCGCTCCCATGTGGCTGACACTCAAAGCATCCACAACAGCGTCCGCCCAGCCTCGGGGGATCCCGTGAGCTGCTCGTCCACGCCGCGCACCTCTCGCCCGTGCGACGAGCGCGGCGCGCGCAACGACGACGCGCACCGCACACACCGGCCTCCACGGCGTCCTTTTCGAAGGCCAGCGGGTGCTCGGCCTTCACAACCGTCATGCCTTTGTTGGGAACCTTCGCAGTTTCAAGCAGTGCAGGAAGGGATGCATGCCTCTTCTCAAGCCAAGATACCCAAGAGGCCATCCTCCACCAACCCTTGTCGTAGTCTCTCTTGCGGGTGTACGCGAAGGCCGGGGCCACCTGTACCGAAATACAGCCGTGTCTCAACACAACAAAGACAGTCTTCGATTTGCCAAGCCCTGCACAACTCTCAGAAATGAACGACCGCGACCTTGTCCAACTCAGCATCAATGACCCACATGCGCTGAGCAGCTCGATAGTACAGGAAGAACTGCCCGGAGCCCTTCTCGCTCTTGTCGTACTTGGCGAAGACAGGGTGACCATCACTGGAGAAAGGCTGGAGGCGCCAAGTTCCACAGAAACGGTCCTTTCGCAAGTCAGGAAGTACGGAGCTTGAGTCGTGGTATACGGCCCGACACTGATTATTGAGGCTCCTATTTGAGGCCCATGTGAAGCACAAGGGCACAAATCTCCAAAGAAGTGGCGTTCCTGATGAAAGTTCTGCAGGTGCGCAGCCACCACTGTCTCGGGATCCACCTCTCGTCACGATGACGTGAGCAGCCTTAGCCTAACTACATGGACCGCTTCCCATCGCAACATGTCAGTCTAACCACCGCGGCTGTAACAACCGGCATCGAAATTCGCAAATATCATCAATTCTGCACTCATTGTGAGGTGATGGCGCTGAGGGGAACGGGGCCTTCAAAACGCCCAAACCCAGACCGACCCCCAGTCTGGCTCCATGTCGGATCTGGAACCCAGACCGCCAATCTCGGTGCGAGCTGGGGATCTAGAAACAGCCCCTAGCGTCAATAAGGTATGAGCAGCGGGTAAAGAAAGTCTGCTCGGCGTATACTGATGCGGATGCTGCCGCTACTGCCGCCGCCGCTGCTGCTGCTGTTGCGGAGGAGGGGGAGGAGGAGGACCACGGAGACGAGGAGGAGGACGAGGAACATTCAAAGCGAGGTGTAAGAAAGTGTCAGCAATTCGGGCGACTTAGGGTCCCATGCCAGACATCAGCTGGACGGAAGCTGCCTCGTTGTTCGCCGTCTGCCTCGTGGCAAAATCCCTTGCAGTCCGCAAGATGAAGGCGACGAGCTCGCCTCTGACGGATTGGATTCCCTTGCACCATGCCCCAACCCTCATCAGGCCTTTGAACATCGGACAGTCCTGTGCCAGCAGTTCTGACATCGGCTTGGCTTGCGGAGCGCCCTCCTGGCAGGCGACAGCAACAGCGCTGAGACAGCCAGCACTGGCCAGAGGGTGAACTCCTCAGGAATGCAAGCTTGGTTGGCGACAGACTCTGGGTGGTGCACCTAAGGTCACTGCTGAGCTGAGCTGACACAAGTTGGTTGAGGCAGGGTGTCCGAGGCCTCCTTCAGTTGCCAGTATAGTACGTCCACGAAGGACCAGATGTTCCAGAGAGAGGGGCGCAGCTTGAGCTTCGCGAACTCGACTAACCTGAGACCAGTGACAGTGCCCTTCACTGCCGCCGTGTTCTGGCGAATTGGTCCCGGTGCTCGCTACGTGGCTCCAAGGAACAATGAGAAGCACTCTTCGCCGCCCAACTCACTGTCAGCGCCTTCGTAATGCAGAGGGAAGGCACCGCCCAAACGCCGGACGATGGCCTTAGCTCCGTGCGAGCTCTCACAGTCAGCCAGTCAGCCAGTCAGCAGTTCACAGGATCCAAACCTTCAAGGCCTTCTTTATGCCCATCTTCGTTCTGGATTCTAAGCAAACTTCTGATCCTGGCACCACCCCCAGCCAAGCTACCAAGGCTCCACAAACGTATTGGAGACGATGGTAGGCAGTTGCCACGGCATCTGGATTCCGCAGGCCATCATGCCTTTCAGCACTGCTCTTCTTGACAGACAATCGCAGGTGACGACACCTGGCCTGGCCGCAGCAAAGCTGTCGCCGAGCCCTGCTTGCAGCGAGGCCTCGTCGGCGCAGAAAGCTTCGGCCTGCGAGCTCTGAGCATCTGATGCCCGAATCGGCTCCCCCGGCTCACCCCCCCCTCCCCCCTTTGCCTTCACGGTGCTGCTGACACGCGGGAGCCAGCCTCAAACGCATGCTTCGGTTACAGCTCGCTTTGCTGCCTTCTCTCCTTCAGTCTCCTTCTCTCCAGTCTTCATCTTTGTCTCAGCCCGGCACTGAGCAGCGGCCCACAGCGCCAAGGCGCGGTCTCGGTCGCCGGGAGCGGGAGCGTTCTTTTGTTCTACGAAAACACAAGTCTCAGGCAGCCGAGGCACCTCCGGTTGCTCGACCCCGGCTGGCAGCTCGATTGCCACCCTCACCCTCGCGAAATCAAGTGGGCTGAGCCCGGGCGCTCAGCGAAAACCCAGAGCATATCTTACCCTTCACGTCCGAGCCTGCTGTCCAGCTTGAAGATCCCATCTGCTCGGTCGGCTCCCATGCGGGCCACCCGGCCAAGCACGATGAGCTCCTTGGATCGCACCCTGGCCCTTCGTCATCAGGCAGAAAAGACCTTTTGTTGCCTTCATCTTCTGCTGAACCGGACCCCGCAGCCCCCACTGCGAGATGCAAGTGTCGAAGAGAGCGGCAGCAAAGGACTCCGAACTGAGCAGCCTTGATTGTCAGTGTCCATTAGTTGGGTTGCTTGCATGGGAAATACCTGAATCCGAGGCAGGCACGGTAGCCCTGCTGTGAGGTCTAGATGCAGCAGCACCGGCCCCTGAACACCTTTGGAGAACAGAGATGAACCCGATTGGACCTCTGCGCATCTCGCCTTCCACTGCTCCGCAGAGGCTCCGCCCGAGTGCACCGAAGCCCAGTGCAGCGGTCAGCTTCAGCTGCCGATAGCTGGCACCCTGCTCCTCCACAGTGCGGAAAGTGTCCAGTCCCCTCTTAGATCGAGCCAGCACAAAGACTGTACTGTACGGCTATTCGCAAAGACAACGTCCTTTGCAGACATCCGAACCGAGAAAGTCTTGCCACATCCGCAATGCCTGAGTCCGCTGGATCTGTGATCTGCTCTGGTGCCATTGAATCGGACCGCACATTGGGACTCAATTCATGCCGACGTAAACTTCAACCTCCACCGCGAGTAGCAGGTGGGTGACCGAGAAGCTATGACCCTTCTGAACACTCCGACATTGCAGCCTCTCTCTCTCTGTCGCTGCTTCACTGTCTTGGGCAGGGAACGGGCCGACATGCACTGAAGGACCAGCAGCGTCACCAGCGGAGATGAGCTGGACAACCTGACGGGATCCGAAGGGTGCAGCTGATGCATGGGATGCCAGGCGGTCCTGCATCTTTGCTTTAGGTGCCTTATCGGCGAACTCATGCGCAGGAGGCTGTGATGCTTCCACCCGGTGCTGCATGAGCTGGGTGGAGACATGTGCCTGGCCAGTAACAAGACGGCTCTGATGACCACCCTGAACCTTGGAGCTTGACATCAAGTGAACCTTCGAGAAAGTCGCCCCTTCACATCAGCCTGGGTCCTCACCGTGAGTTTATATTTATGTTGCATGCGCATCTACGACCCTGTGGCCTGTGCGGCATTCTCGCCACAGACCAATATCAGCAGAGGGCAGCTCGGCGATGGAAGCGGCCCTGCCTCCAGAGAACGAAGAAACTAAAGCAAAGCTCTCAGGTTGGGATCCAACGCGGCGTGGCCACTCGGAAGACCCGCCTCGTCAACGGCATCGTGCACCTAGGCTGATTTGAGTTGCTGCTAAATTTCAAAAACTGCCATGACCTTCACGAAGCACGTGCTTGCAGACCACTTCCGATTTGTGCCGCTTAGGCAAAGGCGGCCTGGACCACAATTTGCTGCGTGGCAAAGGCGGCCTCTTTCAACATGCACGAGCTTCCTAACCTTGACGAGCGCTTCGCACACCTTTGGTCATGCACTACTGTACTGTTGTGAAAACACCTGACGGTAAAAGATGCCTCTGCAGGGAGCAGCAATCCAAAGAATTGTCCAGGTTGGCAGTGTGCCCACCTTGCTGCCGGTTGGCGTGATGAACCGCATTGCAGGAAGCTAGCTGACAGCAACATGTGTCAATACATCCCACTTAATTACCGAAAAAGCATCGAAGCCTTCTTACTCTGAGCACCACGGACACACTGGATCTCGCCTCAGCAGCAGCAGCTGCACGGACTCAGGGGTGGTTCGTACATGGCACGGGAGCACCTTCGCAGAGTGCACGCGGCGGCAGCCAAGAATGCGGAAAGAGCACCAAATGTCAGTGGATTGTAGCCCTATGCACGATGTCAAGAGGAGACAGCGTTCGCAACGCAAAAAAACGACTCTGACAGCTATGTGTGTAGGGAAGTTTGGACCAGGATGATGCTCATGAAGTGCCTCCCAGGCAGCAGGCCGGAGTCGTCGTGCCAGGAAGGGCCACAACCTCATCCAAGAGCCAAAACTTACTGAGAGTACCAACTAGTACTTGCTTGCGCGTGCTGTTCCGCGGGAGATGAAAGATGCACGTTTCCAACGAGCTGAGGCTTGAAGTCTTCGCCTTGGACCCCCAAACATTCACCTCCGTTCCGGCATAATCACCGGGTTCTGTCTGCGTAACTCGCAAATGTCACCCATGCCATGACTCTGGTAGGGCCACTGAGCATCAAGAGCTCAAGTGAAATTTCAGCAGCATGATCAGGTACCTTCTCGTCACACTGTTCGACGCATGTTCTTTCGTTTCTTAACTCACATCGTCCATTCTTTGCTTCTTCTGACTTGCACCACAAACCTGGCTTAGGTACTTCGAGCGGTCAAAACCGTCCACACACTCGTCCAATCCTCCCTCTGACTTTATTGTGTGTCTTGCCTCCTCCTTGCAGAGGTATATTTAACCACATACATAGGCGGCAAAACTTGCATAACTTGCGGAAATCGGCTAAGAAGCTCTGAATATGCGGCCACCAGGTATGGATTATGCCATCCAGGTGCGCCACAGGTACGGTTACACCCCTCCCTGGGGCGTCTTCATTCATTGGCCGGAAACCCGCGAAAGCTCCTGCTTTCCCAGACCCCTGCCTGCACAGGTTTTCCCACACGCACCTTGCACGAAAAAGTGCAAGGTAACCCCACTGGGCAAACACGAAAAAAGAAATGTTTTGCTGTGCTGCAGGGAACCTCCGTTGTGAATTGAAACAGGACATCAAAAACAGCACATTGTCTGCAGGAACGGCGTGCGGCTGGCTGTGAAGCCTTGAAGATAATTCTAAACTAGAAGAGCAGCAGCTGCAGGCTGCCCTTATAAGGCTTGAAAAATCCTCTTTGGCTGCGAGCATCGAAAAACAAAGAAAAGAAAAAGATTACACTGAAACGCCGTGACACTAAAAAGACTGCCCTGAAAATGAAAAAAGGCAAAAGGGGAGAAAAGGTGGCCCATGTATTGGGCACTTCAGACCCCGCTCTCGTCTTCGTAACGCATACACCTACCTACCTCCCTCCCTGCCTGCCTGCCTGCCTACCTACCTATCTACCTAATTACACGTTTTCGGTACATCGCAATCGCAGAAGCCGAGTCGATCCTAGCCGGGGAACAGAAGGGCGACGGCGCTGTAGAAGTCCGTTGCCAAGGCCACCTCGAGCACGGACAGCGTGTGAGGTACGCCAGCACAAGCACGCTCTGAAGATCCGGACGTGGGCTCCGGGACCGAGCTGCCCAAGAACCTCGACAAGCTCTGAGAGACTCTCAGTTCTCAGTGCCGTTCGGCACTGCACCACGGCCCAAGCCTCGCCCGCATCGCTGGCTGCAGCTGGTGCCCGCACGACTCTCTCCGCACCGTGCTGCATCCAGGTCGCCTGCACAAATACGAGGCTGGTTGTCACGAGACCGGCATGGACAGATTTGCAGACGGATTCGCACTATGTTCATGCTAGATTATTTTTACTTCGAGTGAAGGACGAGTACATCGGAGCAGGAAGAAGATACGAGCAAAATCGTCGAATTCGGCAGCCTGCAGTGCGCTCGCCAAAGTCTCGAGGTTCTGCGAGTCTTGCTGCAGCAGCGCAGCAGCATCCTGGCAGATTCGGCACGGATGGATGGCCGACGAGAACTCACGGCGACAATCATTGTGATATCACGTGGCAGCTTCAGCTGCCATCATCGCGATAGCTCGACTCTGATCCAGCCTAGTGCCCTGTCCTCTGCACCCGTCTGGAGCCGACAGCGCTTCAGGAGATCCGAGGACCAGGCTTCTGCCTTGTCGGTAGGCTTCGTGCTGTATTGAGGGTTTCCTTTAACCACGCAAGTTCTGGGTCTTGGCTTCGTGCCTGCGATTGCCAAAGCCACGTCGACGCAACTGCGGCCAGGACCTGACAGGGCAGGGGAGCACAAGGACATGCATTTTTTGGAAGGCTTAGGGCCCCTGGGGTCTGGATCTCTCATGCTGGAAACCCCGAGCAGACACAGAAGGACTGCGAATCGGCAGCCGTCCTCCTGAGCGCGCTCACGTAGGTCATGCGACACGGCGTTCAGGAGACAGCCGAGCTGACGTGCAGCGAAGAATCCCAGGACCTGTTGTAGGTTTTGGGGTTTCGAGGCTGCAGGCAGCTTAGGTTGGTCTCACACTGGGCTTGGGACATCTTGGATACTGTATCTTGGGATATTTTGTGTTATCACTTCTTCGACCACTCGCCACGGCTTCTTTTGCAGCCGAAAGGCCGGAAATGTCTGCTGCGCGTTGATCAAGTTCTGGCGCCAGTTCCCCTGCAGGGCCGACTGTGCATCCCCCTCGAAGTGGTGAATAGCTGGCAAACAGCAGGCGTCGGTTTTTGCAGGGATGCGGGTCGAAGGTGCTCAAAACCCCTCTTCCACGTGCCACGTGCCTAGCTGCACATGACCAATGGGCCCACGGTTCCCACAAATGGTGAAGTTTTTCAACGAGGCATTCTAGCCCCTCTTCCCGCAATTAGATGTGCAATAGTTCCACGCTTCACTTTAACTACCGGCCGCCGGCAACGAGCTTTCCGCAAACCCACGGGTCAGGAAGTCCAAAGACACGCAGTACGTAGGTGGCCAAACACCACGTGCCCGTAATTGACGGCTGTCCCCACAAGCAACAACCACGAGACCAGCAGCAGAAGCAAGTCAATCTGCATGTGCTGCTACTTCAGGAAATCGCCTGCCGCTCACGGAGTGCATGGAGTTGACTCTTCATCTCGCTGAGCCCCAACGAGAGCGGCCACTCCACGTGGATCTCCTTGACATGAGGCTCATCCATGTGTGGCATCGGAGGGGGCGGCCGAGTCTGGTAGTCTGGATGCCCGGCCACACGCAAGTCATCAAGGACCTGAAACTCTCGAAGTTAAAGTTCCCCCATGCATGAAGGCATGTGAACTCAGCTCCGTGCAGCAGCCGCCAGACGTACCAGGCCGATTTGCTCGTTGAACATCCGAACCTGCGCCGGCGTGCAGCTCGGTGCAGGAACTGCAACTTTGGCAAACCACGTCCGAGCAGGGGCAGCTGGAATGGCGGGCAGTCGACTTTTCGGGAACTGGACAAGGTGGCAGGCCAGTCAAGTACCAGCTTTGCCGCAAGAAGTCCCCTGTAACGAGGTGCTTCTTTACATCCTGTACAACATGCAAAAGGAGAGCAGGTGTTCGGGAGCAAGGCTTCAAGGCTTCACATGACCTAAGACCTGATCTCAGACAAGAGGGAAAATCATGTAATTCCACAAGGACACTTTCTGTTGTGGTCAGGATGTCCTGTTCATCCTGCCGGGGAAAGTGTAGAAGAAGCTTGGTGGTGGGTGCGACCTCCTCACTGTCGCACGAATCGGCAGAACCGTTGCAATCAAGCTTCGACTGCACCGGTGGAGCGGCACCAACCATTGCAGCAATAATAACGGGGACCTGTTCTCACTCAAACGAAAAACAGGTAGTCCTGCAGGCGACGATGCCCGCCCGCGGTCAGGAGATTGAAAACTTTTGCTGTACATGCAGAAGCACACAAGGTAAGATGTCGTGGTGTTTGCAAGTCGTGACGGAGGCTTGCAGGTCATGCAAGGCGCCGATGCTTAGACGAGCGTGCTGTAACGACAGATGGGGCAAGTGCCACGCGCCTTCCGAGCAGAGAACCATTCTACAAGACAGTCTTCATGAAAAGCGTGCCCGCAAGGAAGCAGGGCCACCTTGTCTCCCTGTTTGAAATCATCCAAACAGCAAAGGCACGTCTTCTGTGCCCACGGCTTCGTCCAGGATGGGTTGGCTTTCTGCCCCCTCTGCGGCTTGGCTCCTGCCTCTAAGCGCATGACATAAAACTCCGGGGTGGCGGAGGCGGCGCTGAGCGTGTCCAAGTCCATGCGCGCCCACACGAACTCAAGACCGGGCTTGAGGTGCACGACGGTGGGCGCGCGGACTAAAAGCAATGCCGACATTGCCATGATGCCCAGAAAGCCACACCAGACCACTCCGAGAATTAGCTTGGCCACTGGCTCATGTTCCAGGAAAGATGCTGAGGTAAAGGCCAGGCAGATCCCTATCCAACCGCAACCACAAAGACCACCTAAAATGCAAGGCAGCTTAGCTGCGTTCTCGACGTCCGGTTGCTCAATCTCCGGAGATCGAGGTCGAGGTTCGATCGTGCTGGCCATGGCCCCTCTACGTCTGTGCGTGGCCCTATGCCGCCTATGCCCTATGAGCGAAGATGGCTGGTGCTGAAGCCGAAACGTCTCGACGAAGAGTTCTCAATGCCGACTCATGGACACAAAGCCAAACCAAGCACCTCATTTTAAGGAAAAAACCACTGAACGCACTCAAAATATAAGCACAAGAAAGCTTGAACGACAGAGGTGTCGCTTGAGCTGACATCCCTCCCGCACGGAACCACCCAAAACCACAGCGTAAACAACGGTCTCAGAGAGACTCAGCACCGCGATGCATTCTGTCCCAGTATTCTGACTGCCTGTCCAAATGCAGCGTCGAAGGTACTCGCTGCCAGTGTCACGGAAGCCTTCACAACCCAATATGCGATGCTACGGCATGTTTCAGCTGCACCGGCATCAAACTCCTGAATAAACTCCAAGTTGTGAAAATGCCTGACCTGGAAGTCCAGGATTTCAACCAGCCGCTGCGGAGCAGACGCTTGCGCTGCATCTGCAGTTTCAGGGAAGCTTACGGCAGAACTTCAGTGCGAACGGCACAAGATGCAAGCTCACGGCTTGCAAAAGACGTGCCGTTGAGACTGGCTCCGAAGCGGTCACAGCCATAATGCACATGCGACCTAAATGGCGAGTTTTTTGCTCGCTGACCATGCAAAAAGGATCTTACGTTCTATGGTTTCGGAACCCATCACCTTTCCCATCACCGAACAGTCCCTATTTCTGCCCTGAAGGGCTGCAAAAGAAAGATTAATTAGTTTGCACGTTCACGGGCCACGAGTCCCTCACAACATTGGTGTCGAAAGAAACTTCCCAAGTCAGCTTCACAACGAGCCAGCCTGGGCTGCTCAGCATGAGGTACAGCATCCGCGCTTCTGCAGGTGTTTGTGCCAGTGTCTCCTCCTCTTCCTCCTGTGCCTTATCATCTGCTGGACTGGGCGCTGCCAGCCTGCAGAGGCAATGGGAAAGCTTGGACTCTCCCGATCACTTGACTTGCCCCACCTTGGGTAGCAAAGCACCCAACGGGCGCAGCTAGTAGGCTTCAGCATCTGCAGCATCCGCGCCAAGGCTGCATCCTGCCCGGCGCGACTTGTGCGAGTACTTCCACGGCTTTGCAGCTTGGGCTCGGGCCCTACTGTGCTTTAGCCGGCTCTGCCTTGCCACCCAAGAGCTCTGAGAGGGGTCCCAGCAGGGAGAAGGCGAAGTCCAGGGCATCGACAAGGCCTTCGATTTTGGACAAAGCAACTACACCGAAACACCGTCAAGACGTCTCAGACATCCTCACAGACTCTCCCACGCGAGTTCCTGAAATCTCCGTCGAATGCTCCAGGCCGGACAGGGACTCCAGCAGGGCATCCAGCGTGGAGAAGCGGCTCTTTGCACGATAGATGAGGTCCTCGTGGAGCTTTTTTGGACTTCGTCGAATGACGCTGTCTCTGACAAACCACTGCTCAGCAGGCCCTCAAACCCTCAAAAACACAAGCGCGAGCTGTCTAAACCGAGAAAGCTTTTGGGACCCAAGGACGTGCAGCGTCGTCCGCACCGCTGTGAGTGCCGACAGCTTGCTCTCATCGACGCGACCTGTCCGGAGTACGAGAGTCTGGGCTGTTGCGAGATCTCAAACCGCAAAGCATGTGAGGCAGGACACCTTCTGCAGCGAGCCACAGCTCCACAGGAACTTCCATTTCTGATCTGTTGAGCGCGACTTCGATTCGCACCTTGGAATCATGAATCCTACCAGCAAGTGGGGCTCGAACAAGCAAAGATCACGAGCAGCCCAGCAGAATCGCACCATCAACATCGTCCGAATCAGACATGGGGCCAAGTAGTCTGAGTCATCGGGCATCTTCCGCAACCTGCATCGCACGGCAAATGTCGTTAAACTTCAACTCCCATCACGCCAAACAGTGTATCCAGGCATGCGGCCACTGCAGCATCTCGAAAGAGTTCAGCATGCTTGTCATCACGGCCTCTTCCGCAGCAGAGGTCAGTACACCACACGGAACCTACTTCCGAGCCTCTGGATGGATCAGAAGTCGAGCATCAATCTGTGCCGTCAGTGCTCCGATCGGCCCCTTTGTGTGCAGGGGGATGCTCGCCATCAGATGTGTCTGTGCACACACTCGAGTCGAAAACTGCTATCAATGAAATCACGACATCCGATGCGCCACCCACCCTTCCAGGTAACCCTCTTGAACAAATCAGCCGAGTCACATGATTTTTCAGGGCCGTAGTCTCCCAGCTCTGAAAAGCCCCCTGAGCCACGCGAATGTGCACATCTCTGTAGCTCCAAGTAGGTCGACTCAGTGAACAAGCCTGCAGCTTTCCGAGAACATCCAGCACGGCATCTGCCTCCTGACAAGCGGGAGAAGAACAGACAGAGCTAGGCTGCTAGGCTAGTCTGGGGCTTAAAATTTTCGCTTTGGAGCGCAGCTCCTTCTGGCCCGTCTTCTCATCCAGGAGCTTCTCCCGGAGACCCCACAGCGTCTGCTGCAGTGCGCTATGGCAGCGTTTCACGGACAGGCTGTGCCAAAGCTTCCGGGCCAGGTCTGTGGCTGCCGCCTCCCAAGTCCAACATGTACTTCTCTGTACTCTTAGGGCCCTAGACTTAGATGCTCGATGCGGTGTCAGGTGCCGGAGCATCGGGCTTTCATGCACCTGCCTCCCACTCAGCACTGGGATCTGAGGTGCCCCATGCAACAATTTTGCCATCGCTGAGCTGGAGGGTGGATCCTGCAATACGATGCACGGAAGGGAGAAAGCACGACTTCTCTTCCATACTCTCTCATACAGTCATACAGCACTTGCTGTGCGACTTTCTGTTGCGTGCCCTGCTCTGCACCGATGGGCCTGTAACCGCCATCAGCCGCAGCTCTTCGGCATCCTGCAGCCTGCACGAGATGCGGAAAAGAGAGCCCTGGAGTGCAAAGTGCCCGCACGTGCCCGCTGCGCTCGCTGCCTTCCGAGGACGAGCTCCAGGGCCAGCAAAGGCAGCTCGGAGGCCTCGCAGCCGCCGCGAAGCAAAGCAGAACCGCCCCTCTCTCTCCAACTTCTCAGCTCTGCGAAACGTCGAAGAAACCAAAGCACAACTCTCCAAGAGCCATGGACCCCACCTCGGGTGCTTGCAAGGAGCTGTAGAAGCCGGCCCAGGCGATTGCAGAGAGCCTCAAGGCCCCATCGAGCGCATGTGTTCCGCACGCCTCCAACGTCTTCCCGTGGCCAAGCAACTGCAGTTCTGAAGGCTCGAATCGCCCCGCACCACAACCCTCGTGCGACCACAGCGCCTCGAAGACTGAAGCCAGTCGCAGAATCCGGAGCATGGGCGTGATCGTTTCCAGAGCTCTTCCGTCCGGGGCCCCCACCCGGAAGGCGGAAGACTTGCCCAGCAGGGAGAGAGCAGGACTAACGACCAGGAGTGTGGAAGGTACCTTCACAGAGCTGCTCTGGGACCGACGGGTCTACAGGTCGCCCTGCCTGTGAGAAGGCCGGTGAAGCTCCTCCTGTACAGGACGAAACGCACCACGCATTCCAGCTTGTCTCGAGATCATGCCACCATACTCTTCGAGGCAGTTGAACCCAGACAAGATAAGACAATGCCCGGCTCGGATGCGATGAGCCCACACGACCTCCTTACCTCACGTCATCTCAATCATTACAGGGGCCGAATTTTCGAAAATCTATGGTCAGCAAACGCTCCTTGCAGCCCGGCGATGGCAGAGGCTGCCGGCAGATCTGGCCAATCCTGCACAAATGCTAGGCCCTGCTAGTTGATGCTCAACACGCGGAACACTCGGCTGTTAAAGCACATGCTCTGCCTCTGACACTTGGCCCACTGCCATCAGCAGCTGGGTGTCGTTTGGCCAAAGTGCCTTGCAGCTTGCCACCTGATCGAGAAACTTCGAACCTCTGAAGCAACCTGTATTGAGAAAACCGTGCTGGCAATATTCAAAATTGTCGACCAGTTTTGTGAGTGTCTGTGTGTGTGTGTGTGTGTCTGTGTGTCTGTGTGTCTGTGTGTCTGTGTGTCTGTGTGTCTGTATGTCTG